CATGAACCGCAGCGGGCTGTTCTGGCGCCACAGCGGCCTCTGGTGGGCATAATGCAGAACTGCAGCACTTCTTAGGCAAAATGTTTTTTATGCGGGAAAATACAAAATTATGGAGACAAACGAATTCAGGAGTAATCATGTCGGGACTATCAGCATCACTTTTGCTTTGTTGGTAGTATTTTACGTATTACCTGCGATAGCATTGGCATTGGTGGAAACGCATATAGAAGTGGTGCCTGCCATTTGAGGAGGAAGGCATCCCCCAGTAAGCAGGGTCCCAGACCTGTTCTCGAGCAAAATTGTGGACATTTGTGGTTTTGTGATGTTGCAAGGATGTTGATGGATGGACGGCCCCATTACTGAAATGTTTGTAGGACCACGTCATTCAGTTCCCATTCGTGATCGTGGCAGAATTCTCTGCTCAATGTGTTTGCTGTAGTGTTCTGGCAGCCCAGACGGCAGGAGGCTGAGATGTTAATATTGTGTCCGATGCACCAATTCCACAGTTGCATGGCTTCAGTACTGAGGGAGTGAGATTGGGCTCCTCTCTGTCAATTTATATAAAACATGCACACGATGTCTCATTCCTTAGCAGCGGGAGGAAGTGGAAGCACGCGTTGTGAATTGCATGGAGTTCTTCGAGTGCTTGTTCACTTTAAGCCGCTGCTCCCTTTCTTTAAGAATTCTAGTGCAGAACTCACAGCAGATCTTATAGCGATCCTTTTGGTGACCCTCCCCTAGGCACCGTAAACACGAGGAGTGTGGATCACTGTTCGGCATGCACTTTGCGCAGACCACACAGTTTTTAAACCCCAGAGACCACAGCATACTACGGCTCCTGGGAGTCGAAAGTGGGGGGGGGACCCCCAACAACTCTAATCAATAACAACTAAGATAAATATTATACAAAGAACTGTTGAATGTGCTTGCTAAGCAAGGGCTATGGGAAGTTCCAGCCTACCGTCACTGGCAGTAAGAAGGAACTGAGGGGGTGGTGGGTTGGCAGGGCTCCATATTGAGCGCCATGAAGCCACGACTCCAGGGGATGCCTGAACCGACCCGACAGATGCTACTATGGGAAAAATCTTCTGGCCACCGTTCACGTGCATGCGCACACACCTGGTTGGAATGGACATGAACAACACATCTTGAAGAACAACAGTTACAAGAAGGTGAGTAACCATTTTTTCTAGCCGGTTTATGTGCCACATTGTTTTGGTGGGTGACAATTGGCCGTGAACCATGTGAGATGGGCTCCCCAGCCTATTAAGGAGGCGTCGTTTGTGAGCATCATCGAGGGCGGATCCTGCATGAAAGGAATCCCCAAGCACATGTTTTTGGGTTGCATCCACCAAAGTAGAGAAACTTTGACCTTGGTCAGTATTCTGAGGTGCCCGTTTAGGCCATGTTTGTGTGGTTTGTAGATGGTCCCGAGCCAACGCTGAAGGCAGTACATGTGGAGACACGCATGTTATACCATAAATGTGGTTGCGGCCATGTGGCCTAAGAGCTGAAGGCAGGTGCACATTGATGTGTGCACTATTCATAACTGAAGAGATGAGGTTGGTCATAGTAATAAACGTGTCCCTTGGTAATGATGCTTTGGCTTCTATGAAGTTGAGATAGGCCCCGATGAAGTCCAACTGTTGAACAGGGTTTAAGGTTGACTTTTGTGCATTTATCTGTAACCCCTGACTCTGGAAAAGGTTGATCATCTTGTGAGTAACATCAAAGGCATCTCACCGAGTAGGAGCTTTTAATAGACAATCAATCATTCACGTAGGGGAATATTATTATCCCTTGCTTGCGCAGGTGTGCCACTACTACTGCAAGAATTTTGGAGAAGACTCAAGGTGCTGTGGTCAGTCCGAAAGGTAGGACTTTGTGTTGGTTGTGGTCTGTTCCCAGGGTAAACCTGAGGAACCTCCTGTGAGCAGGATGTATTGTGATATGGAAATAGGCTGAGAACCAGTGCCCCCTTTCCAGTGCTGGTATTATTGTTGGCAGTGTTACCATCCTGAACCATTGGACCGTCATGAATTTGCTGAGCTTTCTGAGATCTAGAATGGGTCTCCTTCCTCCATTTTTCTTTTGGGATAAGAAATAATGGGAGTAGAAACCCTTCCCCCTGTGTTGTGGAGGAACTTGTTCCATGGTGCCTAGGTGTAGAAGATGGTTAACTTCTTGTCGTAGAAGGTGCTCTGAGACGGGTCCCTGAAGAGGGACGGTGAGGGGAGGGTGGGTGGGAGGGATGGAGTAGCCCAGGCATATAATTTCTAGGGCTCATTTGACCATAGTGATGGATGCCCATGCTGGATAGAAAGGGCGCAAATGGTGACCAAACTGGGAGCTAGTCAGTGATGTCAGCACTGTCGGGTAGGGGAGTGTGACGGTGCCACCAATAAGGCTTTATGGAAATATGCAGTTCACAGCAAGGGGCTGGAGGGGGTATGCCCCGATTCCACCCTCTTTCCCAAGGCCCTACCCCCGCCTCTTCTCCACTTCCTCCTCTCTCTCCTGAAAGTTATTAAATGTTCAACGCCAAGGACCAGATGGGGTAGAGGAGTGAATTTTCCACGGCCTCCCTCACAAAATATATCACCACTTTGCCTTTAGTAATTATCCTTTTGAGGGGAAAACCGGGCATTTCTTTCTTTTTGCAAAGTCCTGTGACCTCTTTCAGCTAAAGAAAACTTGTGAGTGCTGGTGATGCAATAGCTCTTTACCCTTCTCCCCATTATAGCAGTGGGGGATGAGTAAAGGTGGGGGTGCAGTGTTAAGGCCCCCGTGACCCCCAATGCCTGCACACTTCAGGGGACAGCAGCTCCTGTTGGAAGGGGCATTTCCCTCACTAGCGTTAAGCTGCCCGATGCTCCCAGGACTTGGAGGGACAGCGTGGCTGCTACTCTAGCCCAGGCTGGAGCTGGGAGGAAGGCCACGGGTTCTCCTGTGCAAGGTCCCTCGCCCCCATTAGGAGCTGGAGCAAGGACAGGGCACCAGGGGCAAGGAGTGGGGAAGTGGGAGGGGGAGCTGAGGAGGAGATGGGGCCCCAGGCCGGGCAGGGGCCGCAGCGGGAGGAGGACGGGGAGGAAGGTCTGGGAAAAAGGGGCAGGCTGTAAAAAAAAAATAATAATTTCCTTCCGGAGAAGCAGACTCACCCTGCCCGGGGTCCAGGCAGCGGTGGCTGCTGCCCTCCCCCACCCCATAAACAGCTGATCGTGAGTAGGGAGAGAGAGAGGAGGAGGGGTGAGTAAGAGGCGGGGGAGGGGGAGCTTTGCTGCCGTGCAACAGCAGGACAGAGCCCCGGGCACAGCAGCACCAAGCTTCCCGGAGAAGAGAGGCCATGCCGGGGCCCCTTTGGAGCGTGGGCCCGGCGCCCCCAAAGCTGCAGACTTAACTGAAAACAGCTCAGCAAGTACTCCTGTCTCCAGCACCCAGACACCCAATGGGATCCAAACCTCAAATAAATCCGTTTTACTCTGTATAAAGCTTATACAGGGTAAACTCATAAAATGTCCGTCCTCTAGAACACTGATAGATATGCACAGCTGTTTGCTCCCCCAGGTATTAATCACTTATTTTGGGTTAGTTAATAAACAAAAGTGATTTTATTAACTATAAAAAGTAGGATTTAAGTTTTTTCAAGTAGTAAAGTTACAAAGTAATTTACAAAGAACAAAGTAAATTACCAAGCATAATAAAACAAAACACATAAATCTAAGCCTAATACATTAAAAAACTGATTTTAGGTAATATCTCACCCTCAGAGATGTTCCAGTAAGCTTCTTTCACAGACTAGACTCCTTCCTAGTCTGGGCCCAACCCTTTCCCCTGGTACAGTCCTTGTTTAGTTCCAGCAGGCATCTTAGGTGAAAAGCCGGGGATTTCACATGACCGGGTACCTTTGTTCTGTTCCACGCCCTTTTATAGATTTGGCCCAAGGCGGGAATCCTTTCTCTCTCTCTGGGTTCCCACCCCGCCGTCCAAATGGAAAAGTACCAGATTTAAGATGGATTCCAGTATTAGGTGACATGGTCACATGTCCTGTGAGACCTCCTTCTTCTTTACCTTCATTACATAGGAAGGCTTGCAGGTAAACAAATCCATTCACAGTTCATTGATTCTGAAGCACCCTGAATGGCTTCCACTTAATATGTTTACATCAGTAATACAAGTTTATATCTTATTCTCCTAACTCCAGACATAGAAATAATACATGCAAACAAATAGGATGAACACACTCAGTAGATCATAAGCTTTGTAATGATACCTTACAGGAGACCTTTTGAATAAGGCATATTCCCGGTACATCATATTCACACTTACAAAGATATTTTTATGAAGCATATGGAGTGCAACATTACACTAGCTTCTGTCTCTCAGGGAGGTGGAGTACCCACACCGACAGGCGAATCCCTCCCATGAGCCTAAGTAGTGTCTATACTGAAGAGCTACAGTGGTGCAACTGTGCCGCTGTAGCGTTTAAGTGTAAACATACACTGTCTCATCAACAGAAGTTGGTCCAGTAACAGATATCTCCTCACCCATCTTGTCTCTCTAAGATCCTGGGACCAACATGGCTACAACACTGCATAGAATAAAAAGAACTCTAGTCCCAACATTACCAACTAGGTGGATCAACAAAAAAACAAACAAAACATGTAAGTGCAATCAGGTTTCTACAACCAGCTTTAAAAGCTGAGATCTAATACCATGGAGAGCCTCTGAAGCTTACCTAGTCATCCAGAGGCAGTAGCACCAAGGACCCCAGTCATGGAGCAGGGCCCCACGGTGAAATGACACACTCGTAGCGTGTGTTATATTATAACCTAGGAAGACTGAAGCAATGATACTTGCCAAGGCAACGATACATATTTAAAGACTATAATAATAAATAAAAACATTTTAAACCCTCCCCCCACCCACACACACTAGCTTTCTTAATTGGCTATGTCGTGCTGGTAGTGTCAATGCCCCAATGCTTTACATCATTGATTAGATGGGCTTGATCATGAAGAAAACATCCCCCCAGTATGTTACACCAATATGATGCTGAAAGGGAATGATCTTAGCCTATCAGAGGACCATGAGGCTGTACCATTTTCAACTCAAACAGTCTTTTGCTCCCTCCCCAGTTCCCTGGACTTGGTTTGGGTTAGTCACCATCCAGTTATTCCAAGGCCTGGTCTACACTACAGGGCGAGGTCAACATAAGCTACCTAGCTGGGAAATGTCTTCACTTAAATTTGGCTCCTGCCAACGTAAGTGCCTCTCTACACATCCCCGAGTCGCGTAAAGTCACAGTCGATGTAATCAGATCAACGCAGCGGCAGTGTAGACGCTGCATTGCTTACGCTGACTGTTACTGGCCTCCAGGAGCCGTCCCACAATGCCCCCCCGACAATACAAGAGAACCTGGGGTGAGGATGTGGACTGCTGACACAAGGAGCCAAGCAAGCGCACACCCCAGCAATTTACTAACTGCGGTGGCTGTACGTCAACATACGTTAGATTGACATAAATTTGTAGTGTAGACATGGCCAAAGAGATGAACTTGGCTGAACTGTAGAGAGACGGGAGAATGGGGTAGAAAGGAGGAGCAGGGGAAGGGAAAAGAAACATTCCAACTAGCAGTTTCACGGCATGTTACAGTTTTGTAGTGCCTTCCCTCATCTCACTTCAAATTTGACAGTAGTGAGAAGGGGGTTGATACACAGAGGTCACGATAAACCCTGAACTTGTAACATCTGTTTTACTAATGGGGGGAGGGGGATAGGGGATGATCGGGGGGAGGAACTGCCCCCTAAAACTGAGGCTACCCAAAAAAAAAAACCACCCTCATGCTCATCTTCAGCCAATGGTGCTTGCTTTGATTAAACTGAGCAAAGGGTCAATTTCAGGCTGGATCACAGGAAATACTGCCTCGCTGGGACGAGTCTATTAGGCTGTGAACTGTCTCCCAAGGGAAGGGATGGGAGCTCAATCACTGGGGTCATTTACAGCCAAGATTAGACAAAACCTAGGAGAATAAAAAACCCATTCTGCACCATCTGCTGGTAGTAAGAGTGAACCACCAGATGTGGCCCAATATGGCTTTTCCAAGTCTAATTTATGGGATTCACTTAAATTTGCAATTTCTCTCCCATTGCACGGCCCTTTCCCTTTGTATAGGCGTCTGGTTTGCTGCAGATCCAGTATCTCGTCATAATGCACCGTGAGCTGCTGACGCCTTTCTCGTCATTCAGATATGTGCAGTCGCCGCCTCCTCTTATCGGAAACCTGCAACACAAGAACCAGGGCGCTAGAGGTTACATGTGTCTGTCATTATCCGAGACACGCCTGACTGTGTCTCTTAGGGGAGCTACTGCACACACAGACCTTGTCTGTGCAGACTGGAACAGACCCTCCTGCTTTCCTCTCCCTGCAACAGAATCCACAACTGCCTCCTCCCTGGCAGGTGGGAATACCAAGAGGGCCACAGAAAGTAACCAGCGTGGAGCATCAGGACAGCAGCAGAAGAAGGGGGGTGGGGATGAAAGAAGACAATCATCCCGTTCCCGTTTAATCCTCTCTTCTGGGTAGCTGGTTTCCTCCCTCACCCCCAGTTGCTGCTCATCCTCCCACCCAGCTGTGAGCAGCGCTAACACCAAGCGGGAAACAGCCGGGTGCAAGTCACCCATGGGGGAGACCTTCTAAGGAACTGAGAGAGCCTGTAACAAACGCCAAGACCTGACAGCACAGGCTGGATTATTCACAATCCAAGATTTGTCTCTAGCACCCGAGTATCCAAAGCACCCGACGAGCCCCGAATTTGGACGCTGCTGCCCAGGTTTCTTTTTCAAATATACAGAGAGAGAAACTCACCAGTAGTTGAATTCGCTGCCGTTGGCCCATTTCCAGGGCTGGCCCAGCTCCTGCTCCCTCCGGAGGCCGATCCAGTGCTCAGGGTTGCCTTTATAGCGCAGCATGAAAGCCTTGAATAGAGGCACATACAACAGGAACAGCACATATTAGACTCCCGATTCATAGGAGATGAATCTCATCTGCCTCGGCGCACTCTGCGCAACAAGGGAGTCGAAGCTCTGGTTGTGTGCGGCAGCGTACGTGTGTGAGAGAGAGATTTTAGACAGGGGCAGAGGGAAGGGGAAATCTTCCCCTCATGTTTACATGGGACGGAATTCAGATGGTCCCCGTCCACACAGTTTTCCCCCTCTCTCATCTTCCAGTTCGCTCTGCCCCGTTTTCCCTGAGGCCTAAGCAAGACTTAGGTGCCAGCCCACATGGGGATACTCTTACGGACTTCAACTATACCGATATACGTGATTTCTAAACGGATTCAACAATGCACCACCTGAAACCAGTGGGATGTACTTGGTATGGCTAAGCCGTGCTTCCGCTGCCTGTGCTGCCCCAGCTACACTGCTATTTGCACTCATGCTGCCGTCAGCAGGAGGGACTGAATCTGGGACTCTAAACCTTAGTGTATGAGTCTCTACTGCCTGAGCTAAAAGCCACATGGCTCTTGGCCAAGGCTGCAGCAGACTCCGCAATTTGGGCTAGGTGCCACTAGAGGGGGACAGAGCGCCACAGCCACCAGGCCTGGCTTATACTAGCAGGAGTGTGTCCGTGAGGAGGGGAATCACACCCCCAGCTCGTAGTGTAGACACAGCCTGTGACAGAGCAGGGCTCCTCTCCACACAGGAGAAGCTGAGCCTGTCTGTCCTGTCAGGGCCAATCTATTGCTGCTATAAAGCATCTGAGTCTCTCTCACCATTTCCGGCTCACTGTCGATCCCAGCCAGGGAGGCGCCGAGGGAGGAGCAGTTGCTCCGGCTGTACGTCCAGTTCCCTTCGGCCTCTGAGAAATAGTAACATTTCCCTCCGTACCCGACCCAGCCGTCTGAGCAGCAGCGGGCACCAAGCAGTCCAGGATCTGCCACTGGTGGGTTACAGCTACGTACTGAAAGTAAGAAAAAGATACAAGTCTGAGACTGTTTCCCTCCCAAGCGCACATCAATATCTGGTGGGAATGGAGGGGACTAATTCCCTCAGGTCCAGGCTTCAGAGGCTCCTTAAGTCTCTGCTAGTTGCCTAGTGAGTACGAGGGAAGAAACAGGACATTAGAAATCAAGCCACTGAGAGGTTTAAGTGCCTCTGATTTCAGTGACTAATCTGGGGGCTGAATGCAGTAAGGATGCAGGCAAGAGGCAGCCCACAACTAGTGTTCAGCAAAGACAGCTCTAGACCCAGAGGCAGCATTAAGGTAGCTGCAAGGGGACAGGACCAAACTGCCTGCAGACGGAGAATATTGAAACTTGATAGAAGTTCAATTTTGGAATGATCAGCTGGGACAGCAGGTCTGCTAGTTTTGCTCTTTGCTTTATTCTTCCAGGAAATGCACTGAGATGGAGGCGGGATGAGATTCCCATCTAGGGACAAACACGGACCCACTGAACTGGGCGGGGGGCGTTTTCCCCATAGAATCTCACTGCTGCACTAGCAATGCAGTCACAGTCAATTTTACGATGAGTTGGTCTGTTGGAGCAGGTGAATGAAATCTTGTCTACACAGGAAAGTTGTTTTGGAAGCTAAGGTGTGAGTTTAAACCACTGTAATTATATAGGTATAACCCTCACCTGGAGACACTTATTCCCTTTTAAAAGTGGCTTTTTTCAGTTTGACCTATACAGCAGAACCTCAGCGTTGTGAACACCTCAGGAACGGAGGCTGTTCGTAACTCTGAAACGTTATGGTAATTCTTGCCAAAGTTTACAACTGAGCATTGACTTAATATAGCTTTGAAACTTCACTATACAGAAGAAAAATGCTGCTGTCCCTTTATTTTGTTAGTAGTTTACCTTTAACACAGCACTGTAATGTATTTGGTTTTTGGGTTTGTTTTTTTGTCCCTGCTGATGGCTGATTGCGTACTTCCAGTTCCCAATGAGATGTGTGATTGACTAGTCAGTTCGTAGCTCCGGTGTTTGTAACTCTGAGATTCTCCTGCTCTCCCAAGCATCATGAGCTAAACTGAAAAGAGGCCACTCTAAATCAGGGACAGGAAGTGGCCACAGGGTGGCACCAGAATCTCAAAAATGGTGTAGCCTGGTGTAACCGCTGGCTCTGTGAACAGTTTCAACTCAATTTTCCTCTCACTGCAATGTATCCTATCTATTTCAGTGCTGTGTGAAAGCAGCAATGGGGGCGCCCATCACCACCACCACGGATATTTTAGCTTTTTATATTTTGGAGAGGGGAGGGGAGAGGAAGGAGTTTGATTCAAATTCTTTGACATGACGTTGCAGAGTGTTACATTCTAACACATTCTTGTGCGCTTTGTTCTGCCCCAATTTAAAACAGCTGATCTTTGAACAGGTGGCTTGTATTGAGTGACAAACTGTCAGGGGTTAGTGAGACACCCTCAAACTTAAAATAATCACCCTTCTCTCTGAAAATTTTGGACCTACTATTGTTACAAGTAACTCCCAAAGCGACTGTATCAGAGAGGGGAACAACGAATATTTCTCTTTAGTTTTTCAACTTCTTGAGTGTGCACCTGACAACACTGAGGCTCTTTTTATAGCGTCAATGGGATTTCTGCTCCTTAAGGCACTTTTGAAAATCCCACTCTTTTGTGCATTGTCAGTGTCATAGTTTTGCCTGTTTGTATGGGTCTTTTCATGCAGCAACAGCAATGAGAAGAAAATATTAGTTCAGACCCACAAATATTGGCAAAGAGACTCAGGGGTGGGACCTAAACTAATTTAGAAAAACCTGGTTAGGGTTTAGAAGAAATGTCAGGACAGATTTTTAAAGGTACTGAAGCATCTAACTCCCACTGAAACCAGTAAGTTGGGCGCCCAAAAATCTGGCCTTTCTATAAACCTGGGAGCAATAATTTTGTGGTTAAGGATCTGACCGAAACTCCCTGTGAGCCCTTGGGCAGCTCATTTCTCTGGGCCTCAGCTCCCCACCTGTAACATGGGGGAAGGGAATGAGGAAAACACCATTAATGCATGTGCGGCACTCTAATAACTATGGTGATGAGGGCCACAGGAGAACCTAAGTAGACAGAACCTGTTTTGACCTGACTGCTGAAGCCACAGAGGAAGTAGAGATCATGTGACTTCAGCACCAGCACGGCTGAATGGCAGACGCGGACACACACAGGGTGTGAGTGAAGGCTGAGAACTCACCTGCCAGAGCTGTTGCTAAAACAATGATTAAAACAGCGACGACTAGGACTAAGCAGATAACAGAGCGTCTTAAGGTGCAGCCAAATCCATTCCCTGAAAGAGAGAAAGCCGTGAATGTGCTGAGGCTGCCAGAGGGACCAGAGTTATTAGCAATGTTGGATTTTTAAGGGCTTGCCTACACATTTAGTTCACAGCCATCTGAGACATGAATCTACCCCGTGCCAGCCTGCTGCGGCCTTACTATCCACGTGGACCTTGCAGACATACATTAATAGTTTATTAATCCACTTTGCTCTAATCTGATTTCAGAGGGCTAACTGTCTGTGTAGACAAGCCCTAAAATGCTCTAATATCCATGCTGGGCATATGGACAAATACTAATGAAAGCAACAGTCCAGAGCCCTAAAAGCTATCAGCTCTGCCAGTGCCACCAAATCAATGAACATTCCCAATTACAATTGGATTAAACGATTCCGCCTGTTGCTCCTACCCAGACTCTCCTGCAGCTGTTATCCAGAGTGTCCCAGAGACAACTGGCTCCCAGCCGACAAAAGGGAGGGGAATGTGTCTCGTCCTCAACGTCACTCTGCAGTTTCTGCCCCATGCCCTGCCTGTGCCCCCTACCTGGGGGGACAAAGGGGATCAGATTCTACCACACACAGCCATTGAGCCCACAACCCAACTGTACCCAGGTCCCCTGCAAGCCAAGCTGCTCTGAGACTAGTCACGGGTGTTTGCTATATGCCCTTGGCTTCACTTAGGAGAAAAGCAGACTAGATCTGAGGTTAGTGACACTAAAGATCTGAGAAAGCGCCCCCTGCAGGGAGGGCACAGCCCCTTCCCAGTCTGAGAAACAAAGGATTTTTATTTGCAGCTTCACTACAGCTGGGTTTGTATAAGTCACCGGAAGAGACACCAGGATCTCACACTCCCAGAGCAAATGATTCTGGAACAAACCCATTTGTTTTCCTAACGGTTCTTTCTCAGGCCACTTCTAGATTTAGTTAGAGGAGAGCAAAGCAGTGAAGGTATTAGAAGTACAGCGGGAAGATCCTCTTTCCCCACACTGGAGCCAAGAATCTGAGCTGCCAATCAGGCCCTCCAGGCTAAGGCTTAACCTTCCTGGACTTGGACTGGGACTAGAAACAACGTCCTCCCTCTAGATTTCCTGCTTTCCTTGTTTCAAGAAACACAATTCTTTGGTGATCAGATCAGATTTAAATGAGAAATAGCATGAGCATTTCTCCAGAAGGGTAAATCCAGGTAGCCCTGAGCTGGGAGAACTGTTGGTGGTCTTCCATTCCACTCTGCAGAACACCCTTTGCAAATACCCTACCCCCAGTGCTTTGACCTATGCTTCAGAAGATACAACGGATGCCCTGGCAAATGCATTTTCATGCGTGTTATGGTAGGCCATAGAGATCCAGAACTTCCTGCACAGTTAATACACTATCCCCATATCACTGTCCCCGTGCACACATTTTGTGGCGGTGGCTCACACATTTGAAAATCTGGCCCTCAAAACAAATTGAAGGAAAGAGAAAGTGGAGTAAGGAAAGGGAGAGAGAGCAAGGGAGACATGGATCAACTTTTCAAGCAAATGGGGGCATAATACGTGCACCTGCGAATATTTACACGTGCCAACCGTATGCTGATGTGGCCACGTTTCTACATAGGAAACAGCAAATCAGGAAACTGGGTCATAGGAACCCACTGAGATGAGCAGGTCTCTGCTCCCCACGCTTAAGAGGGTTGGGCAGTTGTGGCCACCACTGAGATGTGGCCCCATCTGGGTAGCCCCAGTGTCTCTCCCCGAGCTGCTACCCCACCAATGAGACTGTTTACCTGGCTTCCTTCCTTTGTTGAGGTCTCCGTTGCGGTTAAGGGGCTGCTCTGACTGCTGGAAGTCCTCAGTGGGACTCTCTACCTGACCCATCTCTCCTCTCTCAGGGAGACACCAGGGGGCATCTACTGCCTCTCCTTGCCTGGGTGTGATGGTGTTTTACTCAGCAGCAGTGGAGTGGCTTCTCTTCTGATTGACCTGGAATCCAAGACCACCATACGAGGAGTCAGCGGCTTGTCTGTGGTTTGGCAGCTCCCTGTTCATTGCCACAAACAGAGATACAAGCAATGCAATGAACACCCTCACATGTCATCAACTCTGTGCAACAAACCCCATCCTTCTCTCTCACCCCAGGATTACAGCCTCTCACCTGGGTGTGCCATCATAGAAATGTAGGACTGGAAGGGACCTTGATAGGTCATCTAGTCCAGTCCCCTGCACTCAGGGCAGGACTTCTAGACCATCCCTGACAGGTGTTTGTCTGACCTGCTCTTAAACACCTCCAATGCTGGAGACTCCACAACCTCGCTAGGCAATTTATTCCAGTGCTTCACCACCCTGATAGTTTTTCCTAATGTCCAACCTAAACCTCCCTTGCTGCAATTTAAACCCATTGCTTCTTGTCCTGTCCTAAGAGGTTATAAAGAACAATTTGGGGGTGGGATAGCTCAGTGGTTTGAGCATTGGCCTGCTAAACCCAGGGTTGTGAGTTCAATCCTTGAGGGGGCCATTTAGAGATTTGGGGCAAAAATCTAACGGGGGATTGGTCCTGCTTTGAGCAGGGGGTTGGACTAGATGACCTCCTGAGGTCCCTTCCAACCCTGATATTCTATGATTTATCATCCTCCTCTTTAAAACAACCTTCTACGTACTTGAAGACTGTTATCATCCCCTGCGCCCCAAGTATTCTCTTCTCCAGAAAAGTGTTTGGAGGAAGGGGGGAGTTAGTATAATGAGGGTCAGGGTCCATGTGGCAAGCTTGGGGCAGGTGCACATAGCGCTCTCTGTATGGAGGGGAAATGGATCTAGTACCCAGTGCCCTCCCCCTGTACTGACACCTCTTCTCCCTCCCCACAGGATGTGGAGTAGGCACACAGACATACATATAGAGCTTTCTATGTGACATGGAATTGGGTACCCACGCTGCTCCTCCTCCTCCCCTGGCACTGATGGCTTTGTGATGCTAGGAGCATGGGGCGAGGCACATATAGTTCTGGGAAGGGGGATTTTAGTAGCCAGTTCCCAACCCTCCCTGCACCAGGGAGCTGCAGCTGTGTGTTTGCAAGGCCTGGCGGGCACTCACACACAGCTTTCCACACAGGCTGAGAGGAGGGGCTCGGTGCCCAGGTCTCCCCATGAGACACACAGCTGTCTGCCTGGAGGATGGTTTTGGTACCCAGCAGCACACTCCCTAGGACTCCAGAGGCTGTGGGTTGGCAGAGAGAGGAGGGTATGTGCACTCAGAGGCTGAGGGGAGAGGCTCAGTGCCCCAGGCCCTGCCCCCATACACTCTGACGTCTTTGTTAGGTGGGGTTTGTTTATTTCTCTCTGTGTACGATACCAACAGCCACCGGCAGAGGGTAACTGCAAGTTCTGTTCTCAGCTGATTTTCTAACTGTGCAATAACTTTCAGCCTATTATCAGAGGGGTAGCCATGTTAGTCTGGATCTGTAAAAAGCAACAAAGAGTCCTGAGGCACTTTATAGACTAACAGACGTATTGGAGCATAAGCTTTTGTGGGTGAATACCCACTTTGTCAGACACAGGTGATGCATCCAACGAAATGGGCATTCACTCACGAAAGCTTATGCTCCAATACATCTGTTAGTCTTAAAGGTGCCACAGGAGACTCTGTTGCTTTTTTCAGCCTATTGTAGACCTCAAAATTTCAAACTTTGCAGTGAACCGCGCCCCCCCCCCCAACCTTTCCTTGTGCTACGGGGATTAATCCTGCCTCGAGCTCCAGCTGGGGACTCACTGAGGGAAGCCGCCAGGGCATTCCAGTGCCCA